GGCGATACAGCATTAGCTAGTGCAAGAAAATTTGCTTTTTATAAGAATAGCATCAGTAAATGCTGCTGATCAAAGAATTTTTGTCGGGGCTTCGAGTTTCGTAAACCAATCAACTATGCGAGAATTGCCATCCGGACGGAGTAAGATGGATATTTAACCAGATTTAAAGACTAATATACACCTCAGTTTTTAACAGTTCCAAGCTCTTTTTTATAGTCTTTGCTGAAGCAAACGTTGTCACCGCTTCTTCGGTAGTAGGAAGTCCTATTGCAGAGGTCACCCGAGTCGCCGGAGCGTCTAGATAGCAACATGAGGTACCGTTACACAGCATCTTCCACGGTATCAGTCTTATCGAGAATAGTGAGTACAACGTACGTGCAGAACAAAGATAGCTCATGGACAGAGACCCCTGGCAGCCAATCCGGGAAATCCCAGTGCTTTAGCACGACATTTAAATGACGTTTTAAATTTCAGAAAAAGCGAAAAGTAAAATGGACACGAAAGAGGAAGACGAGGTTGTTACGGAGGCATGCTGAAGTGGAACATAGAACTGACGCAAATGACTCAATTGACTATCCTTTTTTGATGAAGTACAAAAAACATATTGTTCGTGATATTGCTATACAAATAATAGACGGTTGAAAGAACCGGACAAAGCCAGTTCACCGTCCTACTCACACTTCTCCACTTCCTTTGTTCCCTCGATTTCTTGCTTTCGCTTCTTCGATCCTTGTTGTACTTAACATCGGGATCACTCGACTTCTCGTAGCGGTTTATACAAACCATCATAGCAGGAATTTTTTTTTATTAATATTTTTTGCGCAGAGGCAACAATAACCGTAGATTACTTACAAAGATTACTTACAAATGACAAACATTTTTGAAATATTCCTCAATAACTCTGATTCAAGCTCATTTTATACCATGCGCCTTAAAAAGTACTCCTTGTATCTTAAAACAATATCTTCAAGTGTCTAAAATCACGGACGATTCAAAGTGCTGTTATAATTGCAACCAAATTGCAAGGGGACAGTGCTGACTTGGAAAAAGTTGAGAGTTGCTTTTGCCTTATCATGAAGTAGGTGTGCGCCA